ACCCCCAATTGTGAATGACAGTGGAACTGCACCAGCTGACATGAGTCAGCTACCTCCTGAAGAGTTGCGAAAGTTGAAAGGTCAGAGTTTGCCGGCACCATCACAGCCCAAACTTGTCTTGCCAGAGTCCAGCAGTGTGAAGAAGAAGAAGACTGGTGAGTTGCGTTTGGCGCCAGCAGTGCCGTTAGCAAGATCGAATGTTGTCGTGACTCCACAGGAAGTTCCAGCAGAGCCGTCTCCACACACGCGTAAAATAAATACACCTGCACAAGACGCAGGTGCCCAAGGCGTAAAAAAAATACGCCTGGGCGAGACACAGGTGCCAAACGCGTTAAAAAGATTTTTTTTAGCAAAAATCGCATTGCAAATGCACCAAACATATGCAAAAAATACACACAAAAATACACATGGGGACAGGTGCGTTTTAAATATGCCGTGCCTGGAGACCAAAAATGCGCACGGAAGAAGGTGTATTTTCTGGCGGTGCAAGTTTTTAGCCACGTGAAATCCATATTCCTAAGTGCATTTTGGCTTTGGTCACAATGACGCGATTGAGGCGAATTTTAATTCCAAGATGCCCTAGAGAGTGTGCCAGACTTTGGAGATTTCAATGAAAAGCGTTAAACACTGATGGTCTCGGAACACTTTTTGAAGTTGATATGTCGAAAAAGTGCATGCCGTTGTGGCGCGAAGCACATTTCGAAGTCAAAATGTGCGAAACACACCAGGTTCGGAGCACTTTTGGAAGTTGACATCTCGAAAAAGGGCAGGCCGTTGTGGCGCGAAGCACATTTCCAAGTCAAAACGTTACAAACACCACATGCTCGGACGACACTTGAAGGTTCAGATGTGGTCTTGCGTGGCAGGCGCAAGGGATTCTGCATCTTGCCAAATGTGGGCAAAACGTGAGGGTTTTGCAGCATTTCCGGCAGGCGTGGGACATTTGAAGAGGACCTGGAAAGATGCATGTCACGTGGCAGGCGCAGCACAAGAGACATGTTCATCAGAGATGTTAGGAGGTCAGGGCGCTGATTTCCTGAGAGGGTTACATTTTGGAGCATCAGATCTCCAGGTTTGCTAAGACGATTTTGCATGACAGGTGCAGCACTTCGTATGACCTGGCATCACTTTTTTGCAGTACTTTAAACAGGAGGAGTGGACAAAACGCAAAACGCATTGGTATGAGGCCTTCAGCTCTGCACTCAACATTCCATTTTTGCAGGAAGTCTCGCAGAATTGCTTTGTTTTTGATCTTGCCAACTTCGAAAATTGAGGAAGTCTCGCAGATTTCCTTCGTTTTTGACGTTGCCTTCGTTGCCTTGTTCAAAACTTGAGGAGGTCTCGCAGAATAGCTTTGTTTTCAAACCTGCAGACAGACAGATAGATAGATAGATAGATAGATAGAGAGACAGGCAGGCAGATAGATAGATAGATAGATAGACAGATAGGTAGATAGATAGACAACTACAACTGCAACTACAACCACACTACACTACCACTACAACTACAATGGCAAAAAATACTACGCTACAGTACACTAATTACAATACACCGACCACATTAATTACACTACACCGACCACACTAATTACACCACACTACGCTACACTAACTACAACCACAACTCCAACTACAACTGCAACTACAGCTGCAACTACAACTACGTTACGCTACACTACACTAATTACACTACACTGCATTACGCTACACTACATTAGACTACACTACACTACACTACACTACACTATTTACACTGCACTACACTACGCCACACTACACTAACTACAACTACAACTACAGCTACAATTACAACTACATTACGCCAGACTACACTACAATAGATAACACTACAGCACACTACACTACGTCACATTACACTACACTCATTGCATGGCACCACAACTACAACTGCAACTACACTACACTGATTACGTTACACACAACTACAACTCCACTACACTACAACTACATCTACAGCTGCGCTACGCCACACTACATCCAGCAGTTGTGTCTGCAACCATTGCAACCACTCCACAAAACACCATTCCACCACCTTTCGGTCCATCAGTGGATTCGCTCTGCCATCCATGCATCAAAACAACTCACCTCTCCTATAGTGTCCTATCTTTGGGACTTCTGCCACCGCCTTGCGCGGCATTATTGGTATGTGACGAGCACGATAGAACGGACATCGACCATGTATATGCTAGTTTTGGCGTCTGTTTCATGAAAAAGAAAATGTAAATACGGGTGCCCTCTCGTAACACCGGTCAATTTAGGTGTCATTTCGCATATAATCACTCATGAACTGCTGTTATTGTATTGTATCATGATATATATTGATACATCTCTAAAACACTTTTGACAACGCTGCTGTTATTGTATTGTATTAAGAAATATACTGATACATCCAACACGTTTAATAACAATGGACTGCGATAAACGTGTTTACACGAGTTCAAGGCAACCTTGCTGGGACCTTGATGGAACCTTGCTTGAACCTTCCTGGAACCTTGCTGGAACTTTGCTGGAACCTTGCTGGAACCTTCCTGGAACCTTGCATGCTGGAACCTTCCTGGAACCTTGCTGGAACCTTGCTTGCAAGTTTCCTGGAATCTTGCTGGAACCTTGCTGGAACCTTCCTACAACCTTGCTGGAACATGCCGTAACCTTCCTGAGAATCTTGCTGCAACTTCCTAACAGCGATCCTCTTGGGTTTCAATCTCTGAGGCGGGGAGTGGTGCCAGCAAAATGCATGCCCTGGAAAACGGAACGCTACTGGAACCTTGCTAGACTGTGGTTGGAATATTGCTGGAACATTGCTGGCAGACTGCTGGAATGGTGGAAACTGGTCAAGCCTTGCTGACCTTGCTAGAACAGTCCTGGAACCTTCCTGCAACCTTGGTGAAACCTGGAACCTTGCTGGAAAATCATTGGCACATTGCTGGAACTCAGCTGGAACCATGTGAGCCCTTGCTGGAACGTGGTGAAACCTTGCTGGAATTTCGCTGGAACCTTGTTGCTGGAACCTCTGGCTAGAATATTTTGCTAACAGGCTGTTTTACCCATTTTTTCGATTTCGTTTTTCTTTTTACATTCTTTTTTGCTTTGCTTAATGTGCCGGTTTGTGAGGTTGGAAGTCTGGTTTGAAATTTGCTGGAACTGTTTTGCAACCTTGGTGGAATCTAAATGAGGACAACTTCGGAATTGTTGGGAGTGTTTTTTTGGGGGCAGGCAATCGAAGACAAGGATGCCTTGCTGAAACTGTGATGCTGGCATCCTTGCTTGAACCTTTGAAGAAACCTTAGCTGGAACCCTGGCATGAACCTTGCTCTCCAGGGTTCCAAGGTTGCAAGGTCAAGGGGCAAAGTTCCAAGCTTGCACCCGGATCCCAAGGATGCAGGTTTCCAAGGTTCTAAAATTATTCAAAATTTCCAAGTTTTTAAGCTTTCAGGGTTCGCTCCAGGTTTTTCAGGGTTCCATGGTTCGAGGATTTAATGACACATGAAGCAACTCTGCACATCAAGCAGAGAAAAATGCAAACTAATACAACAAAACTCAAACTAAATCCGCAAATTTTGTTGAGGCGCCCGGAAAGGTTACTGGAAAACTTCCGGAAAGGAATTTCTGCAAGGTCTCCAGCAAAGCCCGGAACTCTGAAATCTTGGAGCTTTGAAACCATGGAAACCTGCAACGTTGGATTCCTGGAGCCTTGTAACCTTTGAACCTTGGAACCGTGCAACCTTAGAATCCTGCAACCCTGGATCTCCAGAACCCTGGAACTTTCGACTTTTTGCAAGTCTGAAACCTGCACTGGGGACCCTCAGGCTTTGCCTGGGGTTTTGGGTTTTGGGACTCTCACAATATGGATCCCTTCGTCCATGGAATTTTGGAACCAGGAAACTTGGAGTGTTGGAAGTATGTGGCCTTTAGGGTCATGGAATGGTGGAACCCCAAACTTGGCCTCTTGCAACCTTAGAGTTTGCTTTGAACCTTGCACCTTGTGAAACTGTAGAGTTGACGCTTTTCTGTGGATCATACTGCTCACATTTTAAATAGACTTAAGCAAGTCTATTGTGTTTTGCGTTTGCTTTGCATTGCGCTGGTCATTTTGTTGTTGAATCATGGAACTCGTAATCTGCAACCTTGCAATCCTGGAAACCTGCAATTGCGGAATCTTGGAACCCTGCAAAACCTTAGAACCTTGCCTGATGACATTGCAGCCTTGTAATCCTGGAACTTGCTGTTGGGTTGCAAAGCTGGGTTGATTGTACACCGATACCCAATTTTGGTTGGTGGGTTTGTTCAATCCCACGTTACTTCTGGGCAGTGGGTGACGGTTTAGAGGCCAGCAAAAAACAAACATGTGCCAAAGGTTCCGCTGGGCAAGCCTAATATTTGAGGCAAATGATTGAGGAGGCTGTTTTTTTCCATAAGTGGAACCATCTATTGCATTTTTTTTGTTAAAACAAGGTATCTAAAATTGGCCATATTAGATCTCGCATGTTTTGGGTGCAAAATGGGATTTCCTTCTCCTTTGGGTAAACGTCGTAAACGCTAGTCTCAAAGATGGTGGCAGCCATTGTGTCTCCTTCAAATCCTCATCATTATAAGTTGTTCGCCTCATGCGCAAGGTATTTGGTGAGGAAAACCCTAGACCCTACTGCTAATTTTGGCCGCTGGCCAATTTTTTCCGGGTGATGACAGCAAGCCACACCTACATTGCTGGGTGACATTTGGATAACTTCCTTTTGGCAGGTAAGACAAAACACCGCAGGCACCGCGCGACCGATTCACAAAAAAGGAACATTTGTAACAAAACATACATAGCTGTCATCAACATATGTATGTAGATCACATACATGTAATTTACACAATACAGTGTGCAGTATTATACAGTATGTATATACTGTACATAGATACACATATAATATCTCCACTAATCGGGGTTTCTGCTCGATTTTTCAATCAAAATATGGGGCTATGCTTCACCCCGCTGAAACCATGGCTGCAAGCAATCTGAGCGGATGGCCGGTAACTGCCTCAGAACTGGCGGCAGAAATGGATGGACAAACCTAAGTAGGTAGGTAGGTAAGGAGATAGATGAAATGATCAATCGATGGCAAATGACATTCAATTTTGGACTGGGAGGCCGAAACATATTTTTGATTTCTTCCACGGATTTCAATCGTTTTCTGGTTTCGATGCTCAAACAACAGCTTTTACCTTGGTTTTTTTGGCCTTCCGGCGGCCTCACGAAACACCAAACCACCTAAAAAGCAGGGAAACCGGTGCAATTGATCAAGATCTGACCAACGAACCAAACTGTGAATGCTGTGGATGCCGAAGAGTCTCCTGGTGCTGACTCGGGTTCTCACCTCCTTCAACTTGGTGCTTTGAGGCACATGACACTTTTGGTTGCTGCCTTGGAGCAAGTCAAACATTCAAACAAGTCGCCATTGTTGCTGGTTGCACATGTGTTGACTTGCAGTATCGGCAGCTTTGTTGGTGAATTTTCATGACATGTCCAGGTGTTTTTGCAGCTGCCTGTCCCAGACAACTCCTAGGTGTATTTTTCTGGTTTCGATGCACCGCTCAGATTTTCACCAGGCACTCCACCAACATGCTTGACTGTTGACACTCATTTTCACAATGCAGCATGTGCAGCTAAATATTGCGTTGTGACTTGGAAAGGTCGCTTCCGATCTGAGTTGTAACTTCCCTTTCCCATGACTTGCTTACTGAGCAGTGATGAGGCCAAACTTTCAGTGATGCAAGGTTTCATTTGTAAATTGCCTTGGTAGACGATGATTTTCTACAGAAACCTGCAAGCTCCAAGTGCCACCTTGCAGGTGGTTCCGATCCTCGACCACAGAAAACAGTTGTAGACGCTTGGGCACAGCCGACATGATGAAGTCATGCTGTAGCGATTCAGGACCGATTCAGTCCCGCTTTTCCAAGGACAGACCGACGAGTTCCCTGATTCCGGCACTGAGTGCCAGGCTCGGAATCCACGACTCTCTGTCAAGAGAAGCGGTCGGGAAGGACACGGGAAAAGATTCTCACACAGTTGTCCAAAACAAAGACTGGGATGCTTTGTGGATTTTTGGAGCAGGCATGATGACAATCCGTGGAAGTGCATCTGGGCTCATCTCCTTTGGGTAATATCATCTCTTTCATGTGCTGCGCTACTCGGAAGCTTTGAGTTGGAACAGCGTTTGGGATCACTGATCATTGCATACCATGCTAGCTGGACGACGTGAAAAGGTATATAAGAGTTGACCGCAAAGACGACTTAGCACGGAACCTCTCCCAGCCTTGTGACAGGTAGTGCCATAGCTTCCTTGGCCCGAGAAGGTGCTTATTGTGCAATGCCTACGAGACACCCGCAATTGCGTTTCAGTGGTGCATCACAGTATTTGGAGAGTCATTGTGCATCAGCATTGGCATGAATGCAAGTACTAAGGCTAAGGCTGTTGTTGGTCAGTCAGTGCTCATTTGGATGTAGGCACGTGGCGGAGATAAGTTCTATCGAAGTGGACTGCACATTTTGTGTTTGTGTTTATCCAGCATTTTGTCAGTGGCGAAATTCTAGATGCGATCAGGCTTCAATACCCATCAATGGCAAACTCATCATTTCTTGTTGGTAGCAGCAGGCTTGTTTTGGTGTGACAAACCGGAAAAAACCTCAGATTGGTACTGAAGGTAAGCACTTGCCTGCAAGGTGGAAGGATATGGATCCCAACCACAGCGCTTGCGCCGAAGCCGAGCTGCAGTTTTCAACTTAGATGTGGCTGGTGGTTGAATTGGTGGTCGATATGTACAGAATTTTACAGCCAGTATGGTATGCTTTGACTCAGTGTCAAGGCATGTGGTTGTGCAGCTGCCTCACTGCAGGCAACTTCGGAGAAATAGAGACTCCTTTTTCTCTTTTCGGAACCCTGGATGAAAATGTGGTGCATGATGGTTTCAAATAGATGCACCCATAAAAGGTAAAATGGGACAACTGGGGAAGGTTCATTATTGGCTTCACCACATGCAATCCTCACAACATGACAGACAGCTTAGAGGCTTAGAGGTTTAGATGCCACGTGATTATTTGATGGGCATAGTCGGAGTAATGCTGATCATTTGTCGCCAACTTTGTTGCTGCGGTCTATATCTCGTGTCAAGGGGCAGTGGCTCATCTTTGCCAGATGAAGGCTGGCTTGCCACGGATGAATGCCTGGCAAAAAGACATGGAGCAACAGCAGACAGTAAATGCAACGAAGCCCAGCACAGGGGAAAAAAACACCCTCTTTATGTTTTGTTTCTAATTGAATGATGGAACCACGTTTTTGAGGGTTTGCCTTGGAGGCTTTTCGTGCCACTGTCTTCCAGAAGTTGTTCGATGTGATTCAAGCAGGAGCGTCAGTTTCTGTTTAATGAAATCTGGCTCGCTGGTCTCTTGATCACGTATTTGCTACCTCAGATACTCAAGGGTCATGGATTGTTTTTGGTTCAATTTGGTTCATGTTTCAATATCTTTCAATATGTTCCAATCATTTCTAGTTTACTCAAGTCCAGCATAGTCCCAGATCGCAGGACCGGCGATTTGGCCTCCAGGACGCACGATGGAGAGTGCTAGCAGAACATTGGTGCTTTTGGGTTTTCCCAAACCCATCGGTGAGATGGGCAAATAACGAAGCAAGTGCCAGCAATTCAGGCCTCGAAGTTCGCACAATGACTAGCAAGCGGAAAAGAATCAGTTGCCATTGCAACAGACCTGAGTTGGATGTCCTCCTGCGATTTCACAGATTTGGCGAAAGGAATGCAAATCGGTGCGACTTATTTGAGGCCATAGATAAACTTGACATGTGATGACATGAGTACATGCTCAGTGCTCGAACCCAGTTGTTTTTTTTTCGACATGCAGGCTCAAAAAGGTGTCAGATTACATGGTTCGAGCACGGTCTTGGACCACTTTGATCTCCTTGCTCTGCCTCGCCATGCAGGGCGCTTTGAAGTCTTCCCCAGCCTTGGTGGTGAGATCTTCAAGACATCTTGGCAGTGCAAGTTCCTGCTATGCAGCCATGAAGCCCGGGACCCCGTTGGTTCCACACGTCATCCATCGCAGACCTGTGGGTGCTGCAGATTTGGCCATCGACATCAAGTTCGCTGGAATATGTCATTCTTGTGACTCACACCCGCCTTGGTGGTCATTCCCTGCTCACTCGCTCAGGTCTTGCCACCCTTGGCTGCATCCTCAGAACCCATCGAGGAAGTGAGGATTCCTGGCCGGTATAAAAATTGGTCGAAAAATACGCGAACGAAGGTTTGGCTTAAGTCGACAGACTTCAGGTTCTGAAAAAGTTTTTAAAGGCATGGCCCAAATCGACCAGAGTATGCCCAGGATGGACCATGTACGCTTGGGATGTATGCTTTCCTTGAGCATTCAGTATCCTCGAAGCCTGATGTGTGATGGAGTACTAATTTTAATTGAATCGCTTTGGCTGGCAGGTTTGCAGTGCAAAGTGAAGTGCATGTGAGCCTGTAGCACAAGCATCTAGTAAAAACTGTTTGCTACTTGTCAAGGCCTTGAGCCTTGCAAAATGCAAATCGACTTTGATCAAAAAGCTCCATGCACAGAGTCAAAAATTTGTCTACACTGCACATGTTCTCTGGCATTCCTTGCAGCTGACCAGCAGCTTTGTCTGTGTTGACATCAGGTGTCACCAAGTTTGAATAGTTGGAAGATCTTGCGTGGTTGGAAAAATATTGGAAAAAGGCTGTGAAGGCCAGGCAAATTTCGACCAGAACAATTAAAAACAAATCTATGCTCTCTAACATTTTCTATCGTGCTTCACTGATGCTTGTGGGTCGTCTTACTTCTTGAGTTGTTTCAGAACAAAATAACCAAAGCAGGTGTCAGCAGTTGGAGGTGAAGACTATGAAAACAAATACACGTGGTCGAGATATTTGGCTCAAGCAAACCGCGATTTTGCAATTTGACATGGCCATGATTTCAAAAGAAATGACTCCACCGAACAAACCCTTGGATCTTGATGTGAGGGTCCGCAGTGACAAAAGCTTGGAGATTCGTTGGGAAGGATCACATGGAGGATGCAATGACTCCTATCAGTTGGAGATTTACCACTTTGAATTTGGTGGGCCCATGATTCACGCTGATCACTCGACTGTCATGGAAGTGAAAGGTCTTGCAGCACATGTGTTGCACCCGGAAAACCTTTCAAAGGACTCCCCTTGGGTCGTGAAGGTTGGAGTGAGGACCAAGTCCAACGACTTGTTGAGCGACGCGCTTGTGAAGCAGGTGTGTTGGGACGGTGAATTGTCAGCCGAAGACACAGAGAAAGACCTGAAGGAAAAGATGCCTAAGTTGAAGAGTGAACTTGAAGGTTTCGTTGCTGTCAGAGGCAAACTGAGATTTCTACTGTTGGGAGGTCAGCATCATGGCAAGTCCTCTTTTGCCAACCATTTGTATCGCTGCTTCAACTGTGATTTGAGTCTCAATGACCAGATGGATGTGGCATCAGCTGGAGCAGAAGAAAAGACAGTAGAAACGAAGAGCCTCACCGTGCCGCTGAATGGCAAAGATGTCGCGTTCATTGACACTCCGGCCTTTGCCAATATGAGTGACGATGCTGTTGGAAAACTCCAGACGGTGATTTCATCTCACTTTCAGGATGGGACTCGCCGAAGAGATCTCCCACAACACGAGCTCAGCTGGTTCAGCAAGCCGCCCCATGGAGCGATAGTGGTCATGTCGCTCGTTCATTGGCGCGACCAACCAGATGAGATGCAGAAGTACTTGGAGAAGATGGCCCGGGCCTTCAAGAACGCCTCAAGTGGTAAAGTGGCCTTCCCTTATGTCGTTGCCTGTACTCACTGCGATGTTTTCTTGAAGGATTGTCAGAAAGAAGATCCTGCGAAAGAATTGCAGAAAGCAGTGGAAGAGATCGGAAAAGCGGCTTTGACGGAGCATGTGTTCCCCATCACCAGCTACAAGAAGAAAGGTTCTGGAAGTGCTCGCAACAACGAAGCAACTCTTGATCTCGTGTCCCAACTCTTGACCAAGGCCAAGCGTGAGAACACGGCAACAGTACAGAACCGGAATGTACGGAAGTGCGGTTTGGTAGTCTTGTCCTTGGCAGCGGCACGACTGTTGGGAAAACTACTGATATGCTGAGGCGAGGCAGTCATGCCAGGCACTTGTAGTACATGTGCCAGGAAATTTACAGATAGCAGTCGCAGCTGGCCTTTTCTTGAGAGATTGCCAGAAGTTGCACGCGGCCTGAAAAACGCAGACTTTTTTGGTTTGATTATTTCATAAGGGCCAGCAAGAAATGTCCACACATGTGGTACATGCGTGTGACGTGTGCGTTTGAGAGTATTGCTGCGTGAGAAAATGTTTGGGATGGTTGGGCGTGTCTTCATTGACCCAGTTCTGCAGCGACATTCAGCTCTGCAAGTCACACGCTTGGTGTTGATACTTTGCTACTGTTTGTATGTTTGATATGTTTGATGGCCAAGATGAAAATGCGATGTAGCTTTGAGCTTTGCGGTCTGCAAATGTGGCTGATAGTGCGATTCAGAGGCGCTGGGCCCACACCATCATCCACAAACATGGTTGGCAACAAGTGCTATCAATTGCTATCACATCATCAAAGTTGAGCGGCAGCTCATCTTAAGCTGCTTGTGACAAACCGTACACGGGTGACAGAAAGAAGCATGAACTCATGAGAAAGCCAAGCATGTCAGTTTTGGTTGCGTTTTCTTTTGATGCCCTGCTAGTCACCGCCGGCGCAACAATGAGTCACCTGATGACAGTGATAAGATGGGACGTCTATCGATCTGGAGGCCACAGTGTGAAAGATGTGACATCACTTGATTTCAGCTATATAGTTGTTTCATGTTTCAGCTACTCAACAGACATATCTGACAGGTTACCTTGGCTTATTCCAACAACTCAGCGGCAGCGCGGAAGCCATGTTGGTGGCTGAATGGATGCATTGCCTCCGCATGGGCCTTGGATTGGAGCAGCTGTGTTTTCAATAGCTTGGGGACCAAGCACAGCATTTTTTTTGGCAATTTCTTACATTTACCGTTTACCATTTAATGATGTTTAAGGATATGATCATCACCGTGTCCAAAGTGAGTGGCGAAATCCTCCAAGGTGCAGAAGAGCTTCAGTGGCGGCTTCGCGCATCTTTGATGCCGGCATCATGCCTTGTTCACGGGTTCTTTGACTTGATTACATCTTGTTCAGTGCCACCAGATGAAGACCAATGCGCTAGAAACACATGTGAATGGTTTGACGATTTCAACAGACATGTCTGCAGCCTGAGATCCGCGTATGAAACGAGAACTTGCACCTCAAACTTGTGGCAACCAAGTTCTTGGTACAAGCAAAGAAGTCTTGGTATCTTGCGGTGTTCATGAGTCTGTAGTGTCCGTTGCAAAATGTTGCTTTCTTCCTTTGACACAGTGTCGCAACTAATCTCTCTTTTCTCATCTTTTCCGATTCTTGATGGTCCTTGAGCTGTGATACTTCTCTGCCAATATTGCCTGAGGCAAGCCTAGCAGAGGCCGTGGAAGATTCTCACAGACGTTTGCTGTGTTCAAATGAGTGGAGACAGTGATGTGTGAAGATGTGTGGCAGCAAACCAAGAAAATCCTCAAGCGCGGAATGCATCGTGTGGGGAGTACAGCTGTGTGATTGGCATATCAGTTTTAGATCGCTTGAGTCTTCAATTGCAACCAAGCCAGACAAGCTGGCTAGTTTTTCCAGCCTCAGTTGGTGTTCAGGGTGTCCCGGGGGAGTGTTTTGCAGGGTAATGTACCAGGTCGCAGACGGCCTGGTCCGTGATATTGGGGTTAATTGGGGTTTAATATTACTAGGGCTAAATAAGTACACAAATAGATCAATAGAAAGGCAGACAATAGATGGATGGAGATTAGACCGAGACATAAACATTTATCGATAGCTGGATGACAGCTAGATAGAGAGGTATGGAGAGATAGCTAGCCAGATAGATAGATCGATAGATAGATAGAACGGTCGCGACGGCTTGGCTGCCTGGAAGACATGGGTGGATGGATGGACGGATAGATTGCACATAGCTACGTAGATGCAGAGATGGGGGCATGGAGAAAGAGGGAGAGAGAGAGACAGAAAGAGAGAGTGAAAGTTAGGTTGATGCATGGATGGCTTGACGGAAGGCTGGACAGATAGGTTGCTAGATAGATAGCTAGAGGGCTACAGGTCATGGAAGCTTTGTCATCTCTATTTGGCTACAAGCGGATGACAGCTACCCCGCTTGATGTGAGATGGAGGCATGGACCGGTGGATAGAGTGAGAGATAGATAGGATGGTAGACAGATTGCTTGCTATAGACTGAGAAATGCTTCTGAGGTATTTTCTGACTTACTCGTTGCACGCATAGTGACAGTAGTCAGCCGCGCTAGCACGCCTTGTTTCGTTGTGGCTACCCCCGTTGCCATGCTGCACGTGGCCGTGCCACCTGGGAGGCTCGGTGCCACCTGCGTATATGGAGCCTATGCTTGGCCTATGTTGATCCATGTTAGATATTCGAGCCATGTTGAGCTTCTTTTAAGCCAAGAACGGCGTGTTCCTTTTAAGCCTTTACCTGGGCCAAAAGGAACGATCATGTCGGGACCATGTTGGGCGTATATGGAGCCTATGTTGGGCGTACGTTGATCCATGTTAGGCTCTTGGAGGCTATGTTGGGGCCATATTCGAGCCATGTTGAGCTTATGTTAAGACAAGAACGGCGTGTTCCTTTTAAGCCTTTTTCCGGCCCAAAGGAACGATCATGTCGGGACCATGTTGGGCGTATATGGAGCCTATGTTGGGCGTACGTTGATCCATGTTAGGCTCTTGGAGGCTATGTTGGGGCCATATTCGAGCCATGTTGAGCTTATGTTAAGACAAGAACGGCGTGTTCCTTTTAAGCCTTTTTCCGGCCCAAAGGAACGATCATGTCGGGACCATGTTGGGCGTATATGGAGCCTATGTTGGGCGTACGTTGATCCATGTTAGGCTCTTGGAGGCTATGTTGGGGCCATATTCGAGCCATGTTGAGCTTATGTTAAGACAAGAACGGCGTGTTCCTTTTAAGCCTTTTTCCGGCCCAAAGGAACGATCATGTCGGGACCATGTTGGGCGTATATGGAGCCTATGTTGGGCGTACGTTGATCCATGTTAGGCTCTTGGAGGCTATGTTGGGGCCACATTCGAGCCATGTTGAGCTTATGTTAAGACAAGAACGGTGTGTTCCTTTTAAGCCTTTTTCCGGCCCAAAAGGAACACGTCGTTTTTGGATCATGTCGGGACCATGTTGGGTGTATATGGAGCCTATTTTGGGCCTATGTTGATCGATGTTAGGCTCTTGGAGGCTATGTTGGGGCCATATTCGAACCATGTTGAGCTTATGCAAAGCCAAGAACAGCATGTTCTTTTTAAGAACTCCAATTTTGAAGGCGCTACGCGCTGGAAATTTGCTGCGGTAGGGTATCGATTCCCCCTCGGTCTGAGATAGGTAGGCAGTCAGAGAAATCGATAGAGAGAGAGAGAGAGAGACATGTTCCTTAAAAGACTAGAGATACGTAGCTGAGCAACAGTTTTAGGAAGGCGACCACTGGAGAACTCCAGTTTTGAAGGTGTTACACGCAGTCGTGATGCTTGCGGGGTTGCTGCAACTGGAGAACTCCAATTTTGAAGGCGTTCTGCGCAGGAAGTTTAATGCTCTCAGTCGTGATGCTTACGGGGTTGCTCCAACAGAGGAGCTCCAATTTTGAAGGTGTTGTGCGCAGGGCATTTGCTGCAGTAGGGTATCGATTCCCCCTCAGTCCGGTTTCTAGCCAGTTAAACAAATACATGGAGAAAAATATATTGCTCGAGACAGTGAGGATACGCGCGCCACCAACAAATTTTGAGGATGTTTGCTTCGAAACTTTCTGTGCAGTTAGGGCTACGCTACAACTGGAGGATTTTTCAACTTTGAAGGTCTTACACGCAGGCAATTTGCTGTGCGCAGGGGTTTTCATTCTGAGAGCTGGCTTTCGTTCCCCTCTTCTCAGGTTGTCAGTATTCCGGATCGTCTTTTGAACCGATCTTCAGAAATGGTTTAACAACACATGCAACACTTTGTTGGGCACAGCTTGCGGTGGAGGCATTCTTTGAGACCAGGCACTTTGCAGCTTGATGGGTTCGTGTTCAGGCTGGTTTATCATGGTTCCTTTGTGCAGAGACTCTGTCGAGGCATGCTTTTTGAATTTCTATGACATGACGACATGCTCTGCCCACATCATGGTATCCAGAAGTAAAAAATACAACTGTCAAGGGTACAGTGGAATCCGCTGTTTTTGTGAAACAAACTGCGTCAACTCTTGACCTGCCGGCACTCAAGCCACCAAATCAATCCAAAACAGCGAAGTTTCGGTCACCTGTTTGCTTTGTGGAAGAGCAGCTGCATGAGTGGGATGTCAGCATTTGACAGCTAACACTGTTTGGTGTGCCTGGCATAATTTTTCATTCTTTTTTGACTGGGAACTTGTCTGTGTCCGAATGGCGGCTGCCCTGCCACCTCGACATCTGGTTTTCTCCACGTGCCTTGGACCCCACTGGAGCGTCCGTTATAGTTTCCAGGTCGCGACAAGGGCCGGTGCAATAAGTCTTGTCATGTCCTGTCCTTTTTTGACTTGGAGTAGATGTGCAAGAATTTGGATTTTGTTGTTGGGTGAATTCTTTTCTGCTCGCACGAAGGAGCAAAGAGGCCTTGTGGAGCTACGAACGGCACTTGAAGCAGAAGGGAGACGGGCCGGTGGAGCTGATTCTGTTCTCAGAGCAGGAAGATCTGAATGTCAAAGTGCTGGTTGACAAGCTGCATGGAAGTTCGAGCTCTGCGCAAGTGTCAGTTCTTCTGATGCTGACTTGGTCATCCAGTTATTTGTGGCTGGACCGGGAGCACCATCCCAAAAATGTGGAACTTTGCACCATGCTGAAGCGATTTTCCAGGAGACTCAACTTTGTGATTTGTCCCACTTCGAGAGCTACTCGAGACGAATGGGAAGCGCAGAGTGGAAACGCAGAGTCTTGATGTGCCGGTGAATGGCACAGATGTCGCGTTCATTGACAGTCCTGCCTCTGCCAACATGAATACGGAGACCGCCGGAAAGCTTCAGACTTTGCTTTCAAGTGGCATTGTGGATGGGAAGCGTCGAGACAAACTCTCGCCAGATGAGCGCAGTTGGTTCAGCAAGCCGCCCCATGGCGCGATTGTGGTCGCCTCACTCTGCCACTGGCGCGACCAGACAGATGAAATGAAGAAGTACTTGGAGAAGATGGCAGACGTCTTCAAGAATGCCTCAGGTTGCAAAGTGGCCTTCCCTTATGTCGTTGCCTGTACTCACCGTGATGTTTTCCTGCGAAAGAGTTGCAGAACAGCAGTGGAAGACATCGGAAATCGGAAGTGCCCGCAACAACAAGGCGATGATTGACCTCCTCTCCCAACTTTTTACCAAGGCCAAGCGTGAGAACACTGCAAAAGTGCAGGAGTGGAATAGAACAGGGATTTGGTACTTGATGGTGCTGATGGTTGTTATTTTTTTGGTGGTGCTAAGAGCCTCCAAATGATGCTTGTGAGCTTCGACTAGTGAGGCAATCATGCCGGGCACTTGTAGTACATGTGCCTATAGGCCTATAGGGCTTCCAGAAATTTTGAAGAACAGCAGTCGCAGCAAGCCCTTCCATTTTTCAGTAGCTTGCTAGAGATGTGATAATATCACAGCAGTGTTCACTTGTTTAAGATGGGCCACAGAGAACTGACGACTGCCCTGTGTTAAGATTTCAATGCCGTATATGATACACGCGGGCGACCCAAACACTGTCGAGGAGAGGTGCTCTGTAAAAAAGGCCATGGCACATCTTGCAGGATTGAGAACCCTGCGCATGACTTTGCAGCTATAAGTCTCTACTTGAAATCAACTAGAACCATACAAGCGGAGTTCATGCTCGAACCTTTTCATTGCATTCTTGATGATCGACTCTCAGATCGCTTCCTTTTCAACTTGCTTTCGCTTGTTGGCCCGATTTTCCACGTCTGCTGATCATCATTGGAATTGTTGCGCAAGTCTGGTGGGGCAGCGCCATGTGCAGGCTAAGACCGTCGCTGCGTGAAGGTGCACACTTAGGTGTGGGTCAACAAGTTGTCCCTGTGTGTGTCAAAGTTGAGTGCCCCAATGATCTTTTACTAAAGATAAGGTTCACTACACCAATACTGAAATCCGTCGTTTTTATGACCTCACAGTTTGTCCTAGATCTGTCACATGCTTTCCATCATACGTACTCTCCAGTGGAGTGCAGGTGCCCGAGATGGTTGAGCATTCAGATCCGTCATATTGCAAGATACAGACACCGTCCTGAGGTCTTGACAGTAGCAGTACCACCTCTAATTCTCATCAAAAGAACCAAGGCAAAAGCGACTGGCATATTTGTTGTGGGTTCAGGCGATCTGGAAGATTTGGAGATTGCTTCAATTGCTGCAGCCTCAGACGTGCTTGAAAGACTGGACGTAATGTGAATCTTGGATGAGTCACCCAAAGGATGCGTCAGACGCATCATGATCTGTCAACGACTCTGTGGGGAAAGGGATTTCTTGGGTGAGGTGTGTCAAAGCTTTGGATTTTTGAAGATGCACTGCTCTTCGCACCTTTCAGCCAGTGCAGAGCTCCCGTTCTGAGGCCTGTGCTAGCGGAAGGCCAGTGGAGTCTACCGCGATGCTTAGTGTTTTCTTGAGCTGCTGAAAAAGTCACCTCAACAGGTAGCATGGGTCGCTGCCTTTTGTGTTCTGTGGAGGCAGCGGGATGTCAATGTTTTGACCTGTCACACGTTTATCCATCAACTCACTTGCTGTGTTTGCAGCAGTGTTTCGGACCTTTCTAGTTAGGAACCAATCTGTATTCCCAATGACGTCTGCCCTGCCACCTCAACATTTGGTTTTCTCAACGTGCCTCGGACTCGAGAAGGGAGCGTCCGTGATGGTTTCCATGTTGCAGGGTCGTACTTAGTCTAATAAGGGAGGCAGATGCCAATCAAACAGGCATCTCCGATGCTTGGGTTCTCGTTTAGCTTCCTTCGCCGCGGGGGGAGCTCACCTGGGGGAGACGGACGAGCGTGGATGGACTGTGAAGCATGGAATGGCTTGGGGCGAGCTCCGTTGGAGACGGAAGTGACGACAGGGTGGACGGACGGGAAACCGTGGGAGATAGCTTGGGGCGACGCTGGGGGTTCGCTTGAACATTGCGTTTTTCTCGCTTGGGCGTTTGATTTTGGATCGCTTGTGCGTTTGATTTTGCGTTTGATTTTGGATCGCGATCGTAGAGCCCGTGGAGCCCGTGGAGCCCGTGGAGCCCGTAGAGCCCGTGGAGCCCGTAGGGCCCGCAGAGCCCGTAGTGCCCGTAAGGCCCGTGAGACCCGTGAGACCCGTGAGGGGCGTAGAGGGGGGCATGCTATTGTCCATGAAACAGCGGCCAGTGGAAGGCATTGGAGCGAATTGTAGCAGAACCACTTTCTTCCAGGGATCCCCACCACCTGACATTTTTGGAACATACATTGTGACATTCTATCTGGCATTCTTTCGTGCATTATATCCCACAATCATTCTGGCATCTTTCTAGCTGACATACATTTGAACATTCTATCTGACATTCTATCCGGCATTTTTCAATCATATGTTCAAACATTCTTTTTGGCTGTCTGCCTAGCATTATATTCGACCCTTATTCTGGCACCTTTCCAATTGACATATATTTATACAATCTATCTGACATTCTATCTGGCCTTTTTCTTACATATATTCAGACATTCTATTTGGCATTCTTTCTAGCAGCCTATTTGACACATAGTTTGACATTCTATCAAAAGTCTATCCAATATTCACTGTGGTAGTATATCTAACAAATAAGTTTACATTCTATCCGGCATTCTTTCTGGCATCTATTCTAACATCCCATCTGACATGCTTAGTGGCACATGTTCGGGTCCGTGCGCGCCCAGACTGAGCTGGAAAAATAGAAGTCATGTTAGACAGTGAAGTGCGTAGCAACGACAAACATAGATGGAAGTTGAGTTGGAAATCCAAGAGCGTAGCGACAACATACGGATACGGAATTAGTAGGACGGGTGCGTGGTGGAAAGCCAAGAGCGTAGCAGCAGAAACATAGTCGGAAGTTATGTTGGAAAGCCAAGAGCGTAGCAGCAAGAACATAGTAGGGAGCTGTGTTGGAAAGTCAAGAGCGTAGCAGCAGGAACGCAGTCGGAAGGTGTGTTGGAAAGCCAAGAGCGTAGCAGCAAGAACGCAGTAGGAAGTAATATTTGAAAGTCAAGAGCATAACAACAACAAACAGGAAGTTTTGCGTGAAAGCCAGGAGTGCAGCAGCAAGAACATAATAGGACTTTATACTAGAAAGCCATGAGCATTGCAACAGCCAACGTTGTAGGACGAAGTAATGGTGGAAATCCAAGAGCATAACAGCAGAAAAGTAGTGGGAAGTTATGTTGGAAAGCCGAGAGCGTAGCAGCAGAAATGTAGTTGGAACTTACGATGGAAACCCCAGAGTGTAGCAGCCGGAGCGTAGTAGGAAGTAATATTTGAAAGCCAAGGGCGTAGCAACAACAAACGGGAAGATATGTTGGAAAGACGAGAGCGTAGCGGCAACATACGGATACGTAATTAGTAGGACGGGTGCGTGGTGGAAAGCCAAGAGCGCAGCAGCAAAAACATAGTCAGAAGTTTTGTTGGAAGGCCAAGAGCGTAGCAGCAAGAACGTAGTTGGAAGTTACGTTGGAAACCCCAAAGCGTAGCAGCAGGAACGTACTAGGAAGTAATATCGAAGCAACAACAAAGGGGAAATTATGTTGGAAAGCCAAGAGCGTAGCAGCAAGAACGTAGTAGGAAGTAATGAGTGAAAGTCAAAAGCGTAGCAACAACCAACAGGAAGTAATGCGAGAAAGTCAGGAGCATTCCAGCAACAAACATGATAGGGCGAGTTTGTGGTGGAAAGACAAGAGCCTCGCAGCAGAAACATAGTCGTAAGTTATGTTGGAAACCCCAGAGCGTAGCAGCAAGAACGTAGTAGGAAGTAATGTTTTAAAGTCGAGAGGGTAGCAACAAAAAATAGGTAGTTGTGTTGGAAAGCCAAGAGTATAGCAGCAAAAATGTAGGAGGTCAAGAGCGGAGCAGTAACAAACACAATATGGGGAGCTATGTTGGAAAGTCAAGAGAAGTAATGTTCGAAAGCCAAGATCGTAGCAGCAAGAACGTAGCAGGAAATGATGTTTCAAAGCCAAGAGCCTAGCAACAACAAACAGGAAATTATGCTGAGCCCAGTAAATAATCCAAATTTCGGTATAAATAAAAAAAATAGATAGATAAATAAATAAACATATATATATATTTATGTATGTATGTAAATCTAATCTAATCTAATGTAAGGCAATGTAAGGTAGTGTAATGTAATGGTATGTATGTATGTATGTATGTATGTATGTAAGTATATAATGCATGTAATGCATGTAATGTATGTAGGTATGTAACGTATGTAATGCACGTATATTGACATGTAAAATATCTATATTTAATTATAGTCAAAGAGTCGGATACTTAGTATTGTTAAGTACAAGTGCACCCAATATTCTTTGCATCATTCTGAAACCGTACGGCCCGTAAGGCCCATAGAGCCCGTGGAGCCCGTAGAGCCCGTAGAGCCCGTAGCGGCCGTAGATCCCGTAGAGTCTGTGGAGCCTGTAGAGCCCGTAGAGCCCGTAGATCCCGTAGAGCCCGTAGAGCCTGTGGAGCCTGCAGAGCCTGTAGAGCCTGTAGATCCCGTAGAGCCCTTAGAGTCCGTAGAGCACGTGGAGCCCGTGGAGCCCGTAGATCCCGTAGAGCATGTGGAGCCCGTGGGGCCCGTGGAGCCGGTAGTCTCCAACGGAGCTCGCCCCAAGCTATTTCCCACGGTTTCCCATTGTCCACCGTGTCCACGCTTCCGTGTCGCTGCCTCTCAGCGGAGCTCGCCCCAAGGCCATGCTCACTTGGACATTTCACTTTGGCTTACTTGAAGCTTTTGGCTCACTTAGAGCTTTGTAGGCTGACCTGAACATTAGATTGCGGCTCACTTGAATAGACACTTAGACACCCTTGGGGAGAGCTCCGTTGGGAGGGAGCGAGACGGAAGCGTGCACCGTGGACGGATGGGAAACCGTGGGAAACAGCTTGGGGAGAGCTCTGTTGGGAGGGAGCGGGATGGAAGCGTGGACATGGACGGGAAACTGTGAGAAATAGCTTGGGGAGAGCTCCGTTGGGAGGGAGCGATATAGTGAGAATCTAGAGCTGTTGGCACGGGTTTTCAGGACAAATTCCATCAACGCGACTGTGCCGAAAAACTGTGCGCCCAAGACTTGTCAAGCGGCGTGCAAGCACTGGGCGATGGGACGTGCATAGCTTCGTTGGCAGGGAGCAAGGCTAAAAGAGCAGAGCTGTTGGCACGGGTTTTTCAATACAATTTCATCAATACGATTGTTCCGAAAAATTGTGCGCCCAAGACTTGCCAAAGTTTCCAAACCCTGGGCCATGGGACATGCATAGCTTCGTTGGCAGGGAGCGAGACTGAAAGAGCAGAGCTGTTGGCACGGACTTTTCAGGACAGATTCTATCAACGCGATTGTCCCGAAAAACTGGTGCCAAAGAC